CACATAGTACACACCGAGTACAAAATCAGTAATGTAATTGAACAACTATGGCTAGGGTAGAAATTGGACGCGTACAACATCTAACAGACGGAATCAGTGGGTGTGCATTGCAAGGCTACCAAGCCAGGAAGTTGATTACTGTATTCATCAAGTGAACGGCGCGGATGCTGTCATTTGCCTCATGAAAAGCCTATCTCTGCCAGAGTATTTTTTTCTTACACATCAGTGTGTGATGAACAGTAGGTAGGGCGGACCCCACAGGTACGAACACCTGCTATTCAGTGATGGTAACCGGTAACCTGACCCCTGGGAGTTGGAGTGTCCAACCACATAGGGTCCTGCAAAGCTACCCACCACCAAAGTTGGTTGCCAGTGGTGGTTGGCGCCAGCTTCGGACCACAGGGTTCAAAGTACGCCGCTGACAGTGACTAAACCACTGCGCCACCATCAACACCACCCTAAGTATAAGGGTTTTATCCCTGTCAGTCCATTTCGTGCAAATGCAGTAACATCTTTGTAGTATTGCTATTCATCATTGGTTCCAAACGAGTATCAGTGAATACCGTTATCACAAACATCTCCATCGCATTTATGGCATCTTTACTAGAAATTATCAGTTTCTGCCGTACTTCCCAGTGGTGACTGACTCCACCGCATGACGAATGTATTGAACCAAATCTGTCAAACAGTTCAGCATAAATAAGATGATGTGATAATCACGTACCAGATTGCAGAAACCCCAGAGGTAAGGGGATAGTGCGGGACGAAGCGAGGCAAGAAGAGACAGAGGGAGAGACAGCGATTATCACATCATCACATACCGAACCAGTTTGAGTTTTGGTTTGTCAAACTGTCTCAAATCGGTATGAATGAGTGCACCGATTGGATGAGGATTGTTCGTCCAACTTAAATGATCACCTTTCAATTTACCCCAATAAGGGGGGGGGTAGATGTATTAAATTTCAGTCTCCTTCCGCATTACTCATTTACGCCAGAGCTCATTATTCGGCCCTGTACACTGTAATTAAGATGATCATGGCCAACCGGGATGTTACTGCAACGCACATCCTATCCTACTCGTTCGGGCGCGGTTGCACGGAACGATCAGATTGTTTCATTAACTCGGTCGGATTCACCTCTCCACCAAACACATACGGTTCAATCACTGTTGTACTGTATGCTTTGTGTCTAGTTGTTTGCCGAGAGGATAGGTGTTATCATCATAGGTAAACAACACAGCTGCGTCCCTCCGTCTGTCCGTGTGTGTGTGTGTGTGTGTGTATGATCGTACT